CCCATGGAGTCCGCCACTCTCTCCCGCATTGGCCTCGCCGGCCTCGCCGTCATGGGCCAGAACCTCGCCCTCAACATCGCCGAGAAAGGTTTCCCGATCTCCGTCTACAATCGCACCACCTCCAAGGTCGACGAAACCCTAGATCGCGCTGCTGACGAAGGGAACCTCCCTGTCTCCGGCCAGTACTCGCCCCGCGATTTCGTCCTCTCGATCCAACGGCCCAGATCTGTCATCATCCTCGTTAAGGCCGGTGCTCCCGTCGATCAGACCATCGCCGCGCTCTCCGAGCACATGGAGCCCGGCGATTGCATCATCGATGGTGGAAATGAGTGGTATCAGAACACCGAACGGCGGATTCAGGAGGCGGAGCAGAAGGGTTTGCTGTATTTGGGGATGGGAGTCTCCGGCGGCGAGGAAGGCGCTCGTCATGGTCCCTCGCTCATGCCCGGTGGATCTATCCAGGCGTACAACAACATCAATGATATCCTGGAGAAAGTCGCGGCTCAGGTTGAGGACGGTCCTTGTGTCACCTACATCGGAGAAGGCGGGTCTGGAAATTTCGTGAAAATGGTTCACAACGGGATCGAGTACGGTGATATGCAGCTGATCTCGGAGGCTTACGACGTGCTGAAGAACGTTGGAGGGCTGAGCAACGACGAGCTCGCCGACATCTTCGCAGAGTGGAACCGAGGTGAGCTCGAGAGCTTTCTGATTGAAATAACTTCGGATATCTTTAGGGTTAAGGATGAACATGGTGATGGAGAGTTAGTGGATAAGATACTGGATAAGACCGGCATGAAAGGTACCGGGAAATGGACTGTTCAGCCGGCTGCAGAGCTCTCTGTGGGAGCGGATTGAAGGAGGAGAGAGAAAACGCGGCCAAAGTGTTGATCGAGGCTGGATTGAAAGAGGAAATCGGTTCTGCGTCTCGTGGCATTGACAAGAAGAGATTGATCGATGATGTGAGGCAAGCCCTGTATGCTTCAAAAATCTGTAGCTATGCTCAAGGTATGAACTTACTGAGGGCTAAGAGCTTAGAGAAAGGTTGGAACCTGAACATGGGAGAATTGGCTCGGATCTGGAAAGGTGGGTGTATCATCAGGGCGGTTTTCTTGGACAGGATCAAGAAAGCTTACCAGAGAAACCCTAATCTGCCAAGCCTTGTGGTCGATCCCGACTTCGCCAGAGAGATGGTCCAGAGGCAGGCCGCCTGGAGGAGAGTGGTGGGTTTGGCAATCTCCACAGGGATAAGCACGCCCGGAATGTGCGCAAGTCTTGCGTATTTCGACACGTATAGACGTGCCCGGTTGCCGGCAAATCTTGTCCAGGCACAGAGAGATCTCTTTGGAGCCCATACATATGAAAGGATTGATCTTCCTGGTTCTTACCACACTGAATGGACTAAGCTTGCCAGGAAGAGCAATGCAGGTGTTGGCTCATTCCCATGAGTTGTTTGTGTTTTTTTCTTATGTTTGTGTTGGGGCTTTGTTCCATAATGTCGTCCTTCAAATTTTCATGCTTTAGGCATAGGAAAAAATGGAAAACCCAGCCATTGTTTCAGCTGTTTCAAGAGTTTTAACAAGAAATGCAATGCCCTTTCTGCCATTTTTGCGAGTTGCTTCTGTATGTTCCATCTTACAGCTGGTCCGAGGTTGTTCTTCATAATACATCCGTTGAAAATGTGAGATAGAGATGATACTACACACATATACAAGTAATAAATTACATCGCTACAGTTTGTCCGATCCATACAAGAAACATGCAGATAGACAAATTGAAGAAAACCCATGAACTTGAAGATCAGTTTCAACCACATTCGATCTCTCTCCAGTGTCGGAATCCATGATTCAGCCCTTAAAAAGGCGTAAACGTGGCCGTGAACTCTTCGATCTCACTTCAGCGGGCTTAGCTTTCAACGTGTTGTTATCTTTTGCTACTTGAGTCGCCTTCTCAGTGACAGAGAAATCGACAAGATCAGGTGTAATGGTTCTGGATGTCCATTGACGAACAGGGCTGGCCTGTCTCTGAGATGGGTAGCTGCAAGATGCTTCATCATTCTCATGGCTTCCAGACAATAACCTCTGATGTTTTCTGATCATTTCCCCTATCACACTGTTCGAATTTGGTCGATCGATTTCCTCCGTCTTGTTGCTACTGTTTCTGCTTCTGTTCTTCTCGCAGTTCTCGGGCTCTAACCCTTCTTCTTCCTCCTCTTCGATATCCACAGCTCGCGTTTTCTTCTTTCCGTTGCAAGACATTGCCCATTCCATCTGCTCCTCGAACTTCACTTGTAAACTCGATGAGCTTTTACTCTTCCTTTTCGGCTTTTCTTCAGATTCAGCATCCCTGCTTGGTTGGTTCGGTTTCTCAGATTCATCTCTCGGTGACTTCACAACTTCGTTCCCGGATTTCTTGAGCTCGAAGCAATTCGAATCGCTTCCCGCAGAATCTTCCTCATCACCCCCATCCTGTGGTGGAGCGCTGTTAAGCGGGACGGATTCCAGTGAACTCCGGCGATTCCTCTGCAAGGTGTTAGGGTTTTCAGTAGAACCCGTCTTCTGCTTATCTCGAAGGAAGGCCTCTATCTCGAACTCGAGCTTCTCCAACACTGAACCATCACCATGCGTCTGCATCCTCTCGTCAAGCCATGATTCCGCGATATGCAGAACCATCCGATCTCGTTCATCCCGTCCTTCCCATTCGTTACCCAGTTTCTGATTCAACGCGTGAATTTCTCGTTCATAACTCTTAATCCCTTTGGCAAATTCATCGCAAAGTCTCTCCATCATCTTCCTCGACTTCGCCTCTCCCTCGAGCTCCTTCACGCAGCTCGAAAGCGTAGACTTCACTTCTGACAGCTCCCTTGCCAGTTTCCTGTGCAAACTCTCGGACCGTTTTCTCAGTTTCCTCTCGTCTTCCAGCTCTTCCCTCACTGTCTGAACAGCGGAACTTATCCGATCATGTTCCTTAGATTTCCTCAACATCTTATCCTCAGCCAGTTGCTTCATCAGATCGTCGAGCTCATGTCTGTCAGCTTTCTGGTCTCTGAGAAGCTCTTTGATTCGGACACGTGCATGAGAAAGCTCGGCTTTCAGAGCTTTTATAACCGAAACATTAGCGGAATGTTGCTCCTCGAGGCTCCAGATTCGGTTCAGTACCTTAAGAAGTTCGGTGGATGTCTTCTTGAGGTTGTAATGAGGCTCACCTGCCCGTCTTCCTCCCCGAAACTCTACCGAACTGCTCGGTGTTGCCGCTTGGTTATACGGAGCCACCTGCAAGGATGTTCAATATCAAAACAAATCCCGGAAAAAGTAGTAACCAGCCAAAAAACGAGATCTGAATGAACGGAAGTGGAAATCACCTCGAGGGAACTATCGTAACTAGCGGGAGAAACGGGTTGCAAAGCCTGGTTACTTCTTTCGACCAGCTGATGATGCTTCATCAGAGTTTGAGCAATGTGCCTTCTCAGACTTCCTGCACTCTCTGGCTGGGACACAGTACCGATTCAAACCCGAACAAGAGATATCGTCACATCAGATTCAGATTAAACATGTTAAGCACAGGATTAACCACATCTAGCAAATTACATTTCACTTGAACCCAAGAGTTTCAGAGCTCATAAACCAAGAACAGAGCAATATAGGCAAAGCATGAGTTGCATTATCACGGGTTCATACTGTAAAAGGGGCTAGACTGATCGTACCACTCCAGCATGACTCACGTCACAAAACTCAAACTTGAATAATACCCGAACCAAAACCAATCTATTGCCAGCAAAAGTTCAAAGCTTTACGATATCCGAATCCAAAAGCAATCACTTCCAGATCTGACAAAACCAGAAAACAGAGCAGTCTATGCCAAAATCACCAGTTCTGACCACGACCCATGTCCCCAAAACAGGCCAAAACCCTAACGAAAACACATACACGCATGCATACACATATACAGAGAGAGAGAGAGAGAGACCTGGTTGTCAGGAGAGGCATCGGGGAGAAAGCGAGAGACGTCAAGACCAGCGTCCGCAAGAACCGCCTTCCCCTGCCGGTGACGGCGGCTGCTAGTGGCGGTGGTACCATGCGCACCGCGGTGCATTTTAGCAGGGGGAAGAGGGCGGTCGTAGTAGCGGTGGAACTCCCAGAGAGCGGCAGCGAGCTTCCTAGAGGAAACAGAAGAGGTGGGATTGTGAGAAGGGTAAGGGAAGAAGCTAACGTGCGCCGGAGTGGAAGGCCGCCCAACTCCTCTATGATTGTGGCCTACCCACAACACAGCTCTTCTCCTCAACTTTTCCACCAATCTCTCCCCTTTTTGTCTCCCTCCTTCCTCTTCCCCTCCTCCTCCTCCTCCTCCTCCCACTTTACCTTTCATATTCTTTTTAACACAAAAAATAAAATAAAATAAAGTTTCACTTTTTCATTTTTTTCCCTCTTTTAAATCTCTCTCCATCTACCACTCATCCCTCTCTGTAATCATGAACCTCTGTTTCGTTTTTTTCCCCCTTTTTTTCCATATGTTTCTCGAGTGAATTTTAAAAAAAAAACATTCACAACCTTGGATTCTTGATGTGAAGTCTTCTCTCTTACGGAAGGCCTGTCTTTAATGGCTGCGAACAGGAGAAATTGCTTCAGTCACTCACCTGTCACTTTGGTTGCGTCACCCTTTGGTGAAGAATCAAAAGATTTATCATTTCCGTGGTGCGGTAAAAAACATATAATAATGTGAAAATAGTACAACAGTAATATCATTTTAATTTCAAATTTATTTGAGATGGATCGAATGAACTTTTTCGTTTTTCATATTTTTATATATTCGCTAAAATTATATATTTTTTTCAGGATATATGAAATTGATTTTTTTTTGTTGGTATATACAGATCGGGTGTTATACAGATGCGTGTGTCGATGGGTGAAGCATAACACGTGCGGATCTTGGAATGCTGCGATCTTCCGACAGCACCGTAACTTGGTGTTCTCGATATGTCTTGGAACATTTCTCGCGTTCTCTGTACTTACATAAAAAAATAATAATAATAATAACTTTTGCAACGTATACATATATTTGAATATATTTCACCAAAAAAAAAATATTTTAATATCAATCTGTTAAACTTGTTATTCTTTGCGAAGAAAAAACAAATCTTATACATTTGAATCCTACATTCAAATATATGATTCCGATCAAAAAATGGAAAATAATTGTACCTTACATAAGATTTCGATCTGAGTGTCAGACCGAATTTTGGATATTTTTTCAGATAATTATCCGACGTAATCTTTAGATAAAAACTTTCTGAAAAAAAAAAACAAAACCAAAAACATATTTAATGTGCCTGGACTGACTGACCATTAGGACAGGAAAGCCCATCACGTGGAAGCATGTAGTACCAAGATTCAAAGCCCATTGGGCTTTTAAAACCCATTTTGTCAACTTTGAAATAGCCGTTATGTTGTTATCTTAGTAATTTAATTATTTTTATAGATAAATCTAGTATACATGCCCATGCATTATAAGCTATCTAAACATGCGATGTCCTTATCGTGCATTTCGTTTCGAGTCTATTAAAGTATGGCCTATGGCAAGTTGCTATCAAATAAAGGTTAGTTCTGTAATAGAGGTTGGACCCTTGATTCCAATGAATTAAATAATCCAATAAATATCCCAACTAAATAACTTTTTTTTTTTATAACCATGGGAACTCAACTTCGATCCTTCCGTCGGACACCACAACACCTCACAGTCCAAAAGACCGGACGAACGACACGGTATTACAGACGGTAAACTCAACGGCTCAACGCAACAGCCGACAAACCATGCTGAACAGGTAAACCAGTCGAAGCTAACTGGCTCAAGGAAAATTTGATACCAAGAGAAATCGAACCTCTGACCTTGTGTAGGGAGGGTAGTCATCTTACCAACTGGACTGGAGCTTCCCCATTAAATAGCTAAAATTACCCGAGAGTTGTAAGAAGATTGTAAATAATTTCAATGTTTTCACATGAAACCGGATCCAAAACAGCTCGTTAGATTAAACCGGATTAAACCGACCAAACCGGAAACATTGGTTGCGTTGGTGGGGAATTCGGAAAACAGAAACCGGACGAACAAATCCAATATCTCGTCCAAATCCAAGAAAGGTTGACTTTTGGGTGCATAAACGAGAGCTTCTGAGACCCGTTTCGATACTTCGTTTTCACAACTTTATAAAAACATATAATTTTCCATGATTGAATTCTTGAGACGAAAACCTTTTTTCGGTTCAATTTAATCCACGAAATAACCCATGAGTATGTTCTCCACCTTATAATATAATGTATATTGTATGAAAATTGTTGCTGATGTGGACACGTGCATTAGCATGAATGCCTGGATGATATCATGTGACTGTGACACGGTACATATTATTACTTTTCTAATAGTTGTATGTAGACCACTGAATTATTGGTATAAACCTTACAATCATATGTTATTTCATGAGTAATTTAGATAAAACCAAATCAAGACTAGGTAAATTATACTCGAATCGATACGATTTTCATTCGGCCAATAAAATAACAAAACACGTTTGAGAATCTCGACACATATATATATATACACACGAACACATACACATTCATGGGAATCTTTATGATCCAATAGAGATTCCTCTCTCTATCTTTACATGTGTATGTATATATATACACACACAAACACATTTTGTACAGACACACACACACATATATATATATATATATATATAGAGAGAGAGAGTGATAGAGGAGTAAAGATAAGAGAGAAGATGGGGTCATGTCCACCGGCGATGAAGGCGACGTCGAACGGAGTATTCGGAGGAGAGAGTCCGTTGGAATTCGCACTTCCACTGGTCATCCTTCAGATTTGCCTCGTCCTCTTCCTCACCCGTCTCCTGTCTTTTCTTCTCCGCCCCTTCAGACAGCCTCGTGTCGTCGCCGAGATCCTCGTCTGTTTTTTTTTTCAACTCTCCTTTCTTTCTTTTTTTTGTTGAATTCATCTCTCCTTTCTTACATACACATACATATACATATATACAAAGTTTCAACTGATTAAATTCACAGAATGGGGGACGAAAAGATTTAGCATTTAAATGACGATCTATATACAAGTTTAATGCAATCCTTTGATGATGATTGTTTATCTCGGTTTAATAGATCTGCCCCCATACCAGAATAAACAGAACCGGTTTATCTCGGTTTAACAATTCGTCCACCGTTGCAGAGCGGGATTCTGCTCGGTCCGTCGGCTCTCGGACGGATCGCGGCGTACAAAGTCGCCGTTTTTCCGGCGAGAAGCATAACGGTGCTCGAAACCATCGCAAACATCGGCCTCATCTTCTTCCTCTTCCTCACCGGACTCGAGATCGATCTGCCGTCTCTCCGCCGCACCGGCAAGATTTCCTCCGCCATCGCCGCCGTCGGCATGATCCTCCCCTTCGCCATCGGCGTCGCATCCTCCTTAGCCTTCCCGGAATATTCCTCCGGCGGCGACGGCGGTAACAGAGTCGCGTTCGTCGTTTTCATGGGCGTCGCGGTTTCCATCACCGCGTTTGGCGTTTTGGCTCGAATCCTCGCCGAACTGAAGCTCCTCACCACCGATCTCGGCCGAATCGCGATGTCTGCCGCCGCTCTGAACGACGTCGCCGCTTGGGTCGTCCTCGCTCTCGCCGTCGCACTCGCCGGTGACAAGAGCTCGCCGTTTGTTCCGGTCTGGGTCCTGTTATCAGGATTCGCGTTTGTGATCGCATGCGTTTTGATCGTACCGCCGTTTTTCAGTTTCGTTTCCCGGCGATGCGAGGAAGGCCAATCCGTGGACGAGACTTACGTCTGCGGCGCGTTGGCAGTGGTGTTGATCGCGGGTTTCACCACAGACGCGATTGGCGTGCACGCCATCTTCGGCGCGTTTGTGATCGGCGTTTTGTTTCCGAAAGGGTATTTCGCAGACGCAATTGTAGAGAAGATGGAAGATATTGTGACGGGTCTTCTTCTGCCTCTGTACTTCGTGTTGAGCGGTCTGAAAACGGACATAACCACGATTCGCGGTCTGGAATCGTGGGGGCGATTGCTTTTGGCGATTGCGACTGCGTGCATCGGAAAGGTCGTGGGAACGGTGGGGGTTTCCTTGCTGTGCAAGTTACCGTTTGGAGAGTCGTTGGCTCTTGGTGTGTTAATGAACACTAAAGGATTGACTGAGCTTATTGTCCTCAACATCGGCAAAGACAGGAAGGTATGTCTCATCTTCCTTTTCATTTTCGGTTTTTTTCATCAAGTTAATATCCATTTCTTTGCTCTGATTTTGATTATTGGAATTTCTCTGCAAACGCAGGTTTTAGGGGATCAAACGTTTGCCATAATGGTTCTCATGGCAATCTTCACGACGTTCATAACCACACCGATAGTCTTGGCGTTCTACAAACCGGCACGCACAACGCAAACGCAAGAATCTGATGTCAGCGGTAGCGCTTGCGAACGCAAGATGGAGAGAGACGATGGCGTTAAAACGCAGTTAAGGCTCATGCTCTGTTTGCACGGTACGAGAGATATTAATCCAATGATTAATATCATCGAAGCTTCCAGAGGGACCGAAGTCAAATCGCGAGGACTCTGCGTTTATGCTATGCACATCACTGAGCTTTCTGAGAGACCTTCTTCGATTCGGATGGTTCATAAAGCACGACGAAACGGGTTTCTTTCATGGAACAAGACCAGTGGATCGAATTCAGACACGGTTGCGATTGCGTTTGAGGCGTTTGGACGGTTGAGTCGCGTTTCCGTGCGTTCTGTGACCGCGATCTCGCCCTTATCTACCATTCATGAGGACATATGCAGCTCGGCGGCTAGAAAACGCGTCGCGATGGTGATTCTGCCGTTTTCTAAGCATTGGAAGCCGTTGGAGAAGGCTTTCGAGATGGTGAGACCAGAGTTTCAGACAATTAACATGAGGGTTCTCGAGAACTCTCCGTGTTCTGTCGGAATTCTAGCAGATCGCGGCCTCGGCATCGATTCGCCGGCTACAGCTAGCAAGTTTTCATCGTCGATCGCCGTTTTGTTCTTCGGCGGCTGCGATGATCGAGAAGCCTTGGCTTATGGATTACGAATGGTGGAGCATCCCGGCGTCAGCTTGACCGTGGTGACAATCACCGGCGATTTCAGACTGGAAAATTCAAGAATCGACATACTCGAGGAGCAAGAAACAATGTCACGGTCACAGTCTGATTCACAAGTCATTGCCGGAGTCGACAAAATGGCGATGACCGGAACAAAATCGGTAAAATTGGTGAAGAAATCGGTGAAATCGTCAGATGAAGCAGTTGAGATTTTCCGGGAATCTTGTCGAAGTGTCGATATCGTGTTTGTCGGCCGGTCGCCGGAATCTTCAGTTGTTTCGAGCTTACCGGTGAAGAAGATGGAGTGTCCGGAGCTTGGTCCAGTTGGGAATTTGATGTTGTCGAATGAAATTTCGAATTCGGTTTCAGTATTGGCGGTTCAACAATTCACCGGAAAAGCTTCTTCGGGTGGCCAAGCCGCCGTGGGCTCAGCCCGTATCACGGTGGCGGAAACGCCGTGAAAAAGGGGCTTAGGGCAAAAAGTTTATTTCTTTACCTTGAAGCACAAGAAAGCACCTTCTTTTGTTAGATCAAAATGTTTGATATCAATGTAACCTTTAGTTTGTACCGTTTTTAAAGATATTATTGGCAGATATTTTTACTTTTGTTATTGTTTATTTTTTTTAATGATTTTAGTATTCTATAATTAAACGTATCGTACTCGTATTATTTAGTTTTTTTTAACAAAAAAAAAAACTGATTATCAACGTTGCAAAATAGAAGATATCAATTACAACAAATTTACTTCCGTTATATGATTTTCTATATTTTTAATTGGACCTCTATCCGATAATAAATTAAGAAAAGAAATTATTTAGATATCTATTTTCCGTTTCATAACTGAGCAAACCTGGTTTATTTTCGAATAAGGGAACGTATGAATATTCATTCTTTCGTCAGCCTCCATTATCGGTGAATCAATTTTCTCTCCGGATTAAAAATAAAGTGAATTAGTCAATCTATTGTTGTAAAGATTTTCAAATCTATATTTAATTAATAATACTTTTTGAACTGTAATTCTAACAATTGTTTTTCCTTTATTTTAAAAAAATATAATTGAATCAAAGGTTTGATAAAATTTTAAATTGTTACAAAAAATATAACAATTATAAATTTTTATATATGATATATAAAAGATTTAGATGGGTTCAAGAAAATTTGTTAAGGTTAAGATGATCATCAAAAAGTCATTAAAAAAATAAAATTTAAAATTTAATATAAAAACTATTATTTTAATTTAAGATACTTCAACCAAATCGTACCCGGGTTGTAATTATAAAATATCACGATTGTATATACACATAAACAATGTCTACAAAGATGTTAAATACACACATCTTAATGACAGAAATATTTAAAGTTAAAAATGGGGACGGAACAATTTTTAATTATCAAATAAATTACAAAACGGCAGCTCGTGATTAGTGGTGAGAACGTAATTTTTAGCACGCATAATTATCTTTTATTGACAATATGAATTTAATTAAGAGGATTAATATTCGATATTGTTAAGGTTATTTTTTTAATTTAGCTTAAGGTTATTTAATTTCTCAAAACAAACTAAACACCAAATTTGCGTCGGTATCTTAGAACCATTTGTATATATATATTTTTAAGGTTATCAACTTTTATTTTGTTATTCTACTTTTGGAATACATAGTGTAGTGATGTATAAATTTGCATAATTTAATCTATAATTAAAATGTAATGGGATAGAAATAAATAAGGAGATCCTACTCCCACAAATTAAAGTATTCTATTTCTGATAGTCGTAAAGATATGAATAATCTCTCTATTTTCTTGCGTTTTATAAAAATATAAGCAACAAAAATGTCTTTGTCTATAATTTATATTTATATATTTTTGTGCCTTTTTATAAATAAAAAAACAATGTGTTAATATTTATTGAAAATGTCCGAATTTATTTTAGCGTTCAATAAAGGGGTAATCACATAAAAATACCCGAATTTTTACAAAAATTTCAAATAAATACTCGAACTATAAAATTGTCATATAAATAACTAAATTTTTCAAAACTCCCACATAAATACCCAGACTTTTAAATTTTTTCCAAATCAAACAAACGCAACTGCTAACTCAGCAAAAAATTGCTGACTCAACAAAAAAAACTGTTGACTCATCATTCAAAAATATTATTAAATATCCAAATATTTATCAACATGTATTTAAATTAATATATACATATAAATTCACATATATATACAAATATATATATATATATTAAAAATAAAATTATTTATAATTAATAAAACACATATACACATAACTACAATATATATATATATATATATATATATATATATATCATTACTAATACATATATTATTATTATTTTAAAATACTTATTAAAAATAATAATGCATTATTATTATTGGTTATTTTTAGTAATATATATACATAATATATATATTTAATTATAATTATTTTTATGCATTATTATTATTTTTAATAATAAATTTAATTATAATTATTTTTATTGTAATATATATGCATTAGTATTGATATATATATATTGTAGTTATGTATATATATGATTTATTAATTATAAATAATTTTATTTTTAATATATATATATGTATATATATGTGAATTTATATGTATATATTAATTTAAATACATGTAGATAAATATTTGGATATTTAATAATATTTTTAAATGGTGAGTTAGCAGTTTTTTGTTGAGTTAATAGTTTTTTTGTTGAGTCAATAGTTTTTTGTTGAGTCAGCAGTTGCGTTTGTTTGATTTGGAAAAAATTTAAAAGTTTGGGTATTTATGTGAAAGTTTTGAAAAGTTCAAGTATTTATATGACAATTTTACAGTTCGGATATTTATTTAAGATTTTTGTAAAAGTTCGGTTATTTGTATACATTAACCGTTCGATAAAATGTTTTGACGTATAACAATCGTTATAAGCCGCAAAATTTCACTTCATTGGGAACAGGAATATCATGCATCGAACCCCGATTTCTATTTATTATATTATTTAAACACTAATATGATATTTTTTCCAGTGGGACGTACTATTATATCAATTTATATATAAAAAAACTTTTATTTTATGCCCTTTTTCTATAGTTTGACTCAATACAAGGAGACAGATTTAAATATTTTCTCGCAATATGAAATTATTAAACAGCACGATGACAAATTTGTTAGATAAATATTAAATTGGCGAAATTGTCCCCACAAAATAATATCTTAGTCGAATTGAGATAAACTCGGTGATAATATCGGAAGCCGAAATTGACTTTTCTTCAAACGGAAAAAGATCACCAGAGAGGCCATAATTAGAAAATACATAAGAATTTAGCAAAATAATAAGAGCAATTAGGAGACTTAATGGAGTAAATTAGTGAAGAAAATTAATGTAAAGCAAAGAGAAGCTGGCAACGGAATCTGAACCAGACCCAGTGGATGAATGAATGAATTGAGAGCGCCAGTAAATCTCTCTCTGTCTGTCTCTCCCTCTCTCTCTCTCTCCGGATTTAAACAAGTATTTTCACTGCCCTTTAACCAGGTCGATCTTAACCCTTGTTCTTGTTTGCCGTCTTCTTCCACAATCTGTACAAAAAAATCTTCTTTTTTTTTGGTTGACCACGCCGCTTATTTTGTCTGAGTGAAGATATTGGGGAAACCCATTGGGAGAGAGCCTCGTCCCGTGTGGATTTCGGATCAGAACGCGCGATCCCTTCGGTAATTTCTCGTGTCCTGTGCAAGCTTTTACAATGCGTTGATTCATTGGGGTTGTTCGTCGAATTTTCAGTTGCCAAACAGGGAGTTTCTGGGTCTCGGTTACGTAATTTTGGGTTTTCTTTGTCTCGTTTATAATTTTCCGATTCTCGTTTTTGAGGTATTGTTTTCTTGACATCTGGGAATCTTTTTTCCCGCTCCGGATCGTGTATGGTGCAAGTGTGTGATTTATGTATGTATACGTATGCATGTGTGTATATGTGTGTATCAATAGTCTTTGTTGGGTGGGATCGAAGTTGAATATTCAGAGATCTTAACACTGTCAATGATCGGTACTGTAATTTTCCCGGAAAATGATTGCGAAGTTTGATCTGTGAGAAAATCTGATTGACATGAACATGGAGACGAACAGAAAGCCGAATGATTCGGAGACAGGGAAAAGCAGAAAAAGTTTATGAAATTTTAGTTATAACGGAAAAACTAGATTAGCCCAGTAATTCTTTCTTTGTTTTAGGGTTACGTTGATGCAAACGATGAAAATCCTGATTTGGGATTGAATTCTGCCACTCTCAAGGAAAATCGATCCATTTTGTTACATCTTTGGATTAGGATAAGAATTCTGATTCGGGTCGAATTCTGATCTGATCCTTTTATTATTTCAAAATAAGGAAACCCAAATCCAAATTTCATCTTCTTCCTTGAGTAGATGAAGAATCTCTGAGAAAGATTTATCTGTTCTTCGTGCCCAGGGACTGACCTAGAGATGGCTACTGTCAATTCTTCTGCTGGGCATGCTTGTCCAGCTCCAATGAAGGCGACTTCAAATGGGGTTTTCCAAGGAGATAACCCCATAGATTTCGCATTGCCCCTTGCGATATTGCAGATTTGCATAGTGGTGGCTCTCACTCGAGGTCTCGCCTATCTTCTTCGTCCTCTTCGTCAGCCTCGTGTTATTGCAGAAGTCATTGTGAGTTTTCGCTCTCATTCCCATTCTTCCATCTTAGTTTGATTATTGCAGAAGTAACTGATACGATTCTCAGGGAGGAATTATGCTCGGGCCGTCTCTTCTCGGCCGGTCCAAGGGTTACCTCAACACGATCTTCCCGTCCAAAAGCCTGACAGTGCTCGAAACTCTGGCCAACCTCGGCAT